ATATATATATATATATATATATATATATATATATATATATATATATATATATATATATATATATATATATATATATGAGTTACACATTACATGCATTGGTAAGTCATTCTAAGCATTAACACTTACATGTGCATGCATACATGACATATCATAAACCAGGACCTCCCATAAAAAAACCCAGAGTCAATGTCCAGGGGAATCACTAGTCACAATCCAAGTACAATCTCCAGCTAAATCAGTAACATCTCTCTGACTATTCCTCCCAGTCAGTCTATCTTACAAACATTCTTTGTCAAACTGAATCGTAATAAACCTTACATACAACCGTCCAAGACGCCTTACATACAACCATCAAAGTCGTGAGCAGCCTCACACTTTCCAATCACAAGATCAATGTATCTCGGTGACCTTACCGATGTTAGCAACCCTGCCATATGTTCCACCTTTCCAAGCCACCAAGTTGATAATATTCTAGTAGCACTAATGACATTGGTGTAAAGTTAAATTCTTGTCTGGTAGTGTTCTAATTTCCATTTGGAAGCTAATCCTTATCACCAGTTCTCAGCCGGTAGCCTGCCTTAGGCACTGATTCTGCGGTTCAAATAAAATGGGCATTGCATTTATCAATCATCGCATCATTTCAATTCATATTATTATCATATTAAGCATACATACCATATATCATGCATACATCAAGCATAATCATATCAAACATGCATACATGCATTACATTCAATCATACATGCCCATGAAAACTACAAAAAAATCTCAAGGCATGACTATCAGCTAAGACAAACTCAAATTCGAATCCAAGCTCAGCATTATCCATTCATATTGCTATAGCTACCTTGGTTGAGAATAGACACAACTGTAAGAGGTAACGTTATCAAAATTTCACTAGGAAGCTTACCTACGATTCATATCCAAAACCTAGTCATCACCAGCCTCCGGGCATTACACTTGCAATTATCAAATTCAAACTTTTTAAGTTCAAACCTTTCAAAAAACATTCAATTTCATTTGATTATTAAGCCTTGGTTAAGAATATACACAACCGACATCATCAGCGAAATTTCAATTTCAATCTTCAAACCTAGCATTCTTCATGCTAAACAATTACCTTGGTTGAGAACAGATACAGCCGTAAAAACTCGGATCTCGTCTTTGATCTAGTTATCCAAGATTTGATCATCAAAACACTTTTTCAACCATCTACCCCCTAGGTTGTGGTAGGTGTGCGAATTACCAGATTCATATTATTCATTCCCTAGGTTGCAATGAATACATTAATTCACTTTTGTGCTGTTTATCCCCTAGGTAATGATAAACGCGCAAATTCTTCAAATATATATCCCCTAGGTTGCGATAGATATGCAAATTTTTAGAGTTATACTATTCATCCCCTAGGTTGTGATGAATAACATAAGCCCACCCATGTTGTCTTTTATCCCCTAGGTTATAATAAATACACAAGTTCATCCTTGTACTGTTTACTCCCTAGGTTGTAGTAAACATGACAAAACCCGGGATATAACTCATTGTGTCAGTCTCTATGCAGCAATGTGTTATCAAGCTTTTTCAATTATCTATCCCCTAGGTTGTGATAGGTATGTGAAATTTCAGGGTTATACTATTCATCCCCTAGGTTGTGATGAATAACATAAGCCCATCCTTGTTATATTTTATCCCCTAGGTTGTGATAAATACACAAGTTCATCCTCGTAGTGTTCACTCCCTAGGTTGTAGTAAACATGACAAAATCTGCTATATAACTCATTGCGTCAGTCTCCATGCAGCGATGTGTTATCAAGCTTCTTTAAATATCTATCCCCTAGGTTGTGATAGATATGCGAATTTTCAAGATTATACTATTCATCTCCTAGGTTGTGATGAATAACATAAACCCACTCATGTTGTCTTTTATCCCCTAGGTTGTGATAAATACAAAGGTTCATCCTCATACTGTTTACTCCCAAGGTTATAGTAAACATGATGAATTATGCGATATAACTCATTGCGTCAGTCTCCATGAAGCAATGTGTTATCAAGCTTTTTCAATTATCTATCCCCTAGGTTGTGATAGGTATGTGAATTTTCAGGATTATAATACTCATCCCCTATGTCCTGATGAATACTGTAAGCTTATCCATGTTGTCTTTTATCCCCTAGGTCGTGATAAATGCACAAGTTCATCCTCATATTGTTTATTCCCTAGGTTATGTCGCACCGTCGGCAAAACGAAAAGATGAAATGCGACAATAATAGAAAAATATGTAGCGGTAAAGATTTATGATTTAACCCATCAATTGACTTATCTTAACACAATGAAGTCGCCACCGCACTTTATTGTTTCCAAAGTGAAATGGGAAAAAAGCGAACAAAACCCACAATTATATAAGGATCAGAGATTGAGGTACGGGGGGTTGGTTATGCAAAGGGAAGGTGTTAGCACCCTAAGCATCTACGGTACTCCACAGGATCCACTTTGTTTGGTTTCTTTTGAAAGGAGTGTCATGTAAAGGTTTACTTGCTAAAGGAAAATAATGAATGAGTATTTGTAAACAAAAGAAAATGTTTTTTATTATTTTCACTCGCCTTGGGTCATAAGACTTAATGCCTACATACTCCCTCGTGCAATGGGAAAGTCAGAGCACCGTAGTTCGGCTAGAAAAGACTTATTTGTTGATTGAATTTAAACGAATAGACAAGTCATTATTGTTAGGAGAGAAATCTCGACTAACGTCTATAAGGTGTGAGAAAGATGGACCTTGCGTTAGCAAGAGTGAGGGTTTGAGAACGCCTCTAGTAATCAAGTGGAAAAGTGGACACCTTTATAACCATGGGGATAGGAGAATGTTGCTCGACTATCAATGAATCATGTCACATCTTGAAAAAAGGTTTTGAGGGGTAAAAGTGCTCGAGCGCACAAATTTTTTGAATGAGTTGAAGTATTTTTGTTAATTTTGAAAGATGTCAAAGTATGATTAAATTAATTGAAGTTTGTTTAAAGAAAAGAAGTTTTAAAAGAAAAGGCACTCGACAAAGTCGAGGTTTATTATGAAAGTGGTTCGAGTTTATAAACAAAGAAGATTTTGAAAAAAGATGAGAAGGTTTTGAAAATTAAAGAATGGGAGAAAAGAGTGTCCTATGTACAGGTGGATAAAAGATAAGGAAAAGAGGATCTGAGCGAATAAGAAATCAGTACTTGACATGATAAAGTCAATACAGTGTTCTCATCCCTTTGGATTTAAAGCCACAGACAGAAAAATAAGCTAAGAGTATACCAAACCTCAGGTGAAAATAAATTACAAGCCAACAGAATAAAAAACCAGATGTAACAAGCAGCGAATAAAGCGCGTTGAATCGCAACACGTGAAAATAAATCATGGATGAAGAATGCATGGATAAATCTCACGGTACCAGATAAGGTCCAAGATATCAAATAAAGCTCATGGTATTGGATAAGAATCCATGCATCACATGAAATATACAGACAAATCCAACAACACGGGAAAACTTATATGCGTCCGTATGATTTTCAGAAGTTAATTTCAATTAAAATTTAAAATTGCAACACAATGAAAATAATATTTACATAATCTGAATTTATTTACAAGTAAAATGTAAAAATAAAAGTATTATGTACAATTATATATTTACAATACCAAATGTTAAATCGAAATAGTAAATAAAAAATACAAGAAAAAAGGGAATGAAGAAAAAGTATAAATGTGCTATGCGAGAATGAATGCTTGAAGCAATTCTCGGAAACCTTCACAATAAACAAACTCGTTAGTAGCATAAGCAGTATAAAAATAAAATGAATGAAATTGCAACAATTAAAGTCTATGTTAGTAATCACAAAATATAAAACTGAAATGAAATTGTATGATGCACATGAACAAATGAATATCTTCTATTAAAACCAAGAACTCAATCTATAATTCAATTCAATCCATGAAAAATCAAGCATTATTCATACAAATCAAAAGTTGGACAGCAGCAAATTATGTATAAAAAGCTCATGAAAATCAATTTCCAAGTGATTCCAATCTTACGTATAAATCCCGACATCAACCAACGAACTTTGTGAATTAAATTCAACTTGAAACATCATCAAAACCTCTTTTAAAATGACTCAAACAACAAGACAACATCAATACCGACAATTCAATATTAATCAACTCATGTCACATTCACATTAAGTTCAAAAGTGATTAAAAATAAGTTTTGAATCAAAGTTTCAGCAAGATATAAATCCGGACAGCAACTAAAAAAACTTCATGGACTTAAAGTCTCAAGACAAACTCAAAACACATTCCACTTATGAGTATTCAAAAAAACACTTAGCATCCATTCATGTGCTACTCAAAACATGTTCAAAACATGGAAAACAAATTGGAATTAAGCCATAATCGATTAGATCAAAACTAGGGCAGCACCTCAAATTTATACATCAATTCTCCAAGATTGATGTAAAACAAGTTGAAACCAAAGAGAACAACTTACAAACAGAACCAAGTTTCATCGATCAAAAATTAATAAGAATGTCAAGCTCAAATCAACAAGAAAACAACAACAATATCATCAACTTCAACACTAATTCCCAACAAATTAATTCTTAGCTACAACCCACAACAACATCAAATAATTTCAACATCATTATCTTCATCAATAACAGCTCAAAAATTGTAACACAAATTCATTCATATCATATTCATCATTCAACATATTTCAGAAATTAAATTAAACAAAAGAGTGATAGAGAATTCAAAATCTACCAATTTCACTAAAACGGAGAGAGTTCGGAAGAAGGTTGTTGATACTACATTGATGCTGAGAAGTGTTGTTGCTGAACGGAAAGTGCCAAAGTCGCAGGTTACAGTGGAAAGCGCGAAGATTGGAGGAGTGATATATGTTTCTGTTTTGTGGAGAGAGGAAGGTTAGTGGAATCGGTGATGAAGATTGGTTGTATCGCTGATATGGAGAATGAACAGTGAATGAATGGTGGCGAAGAGCGCGACTCTGTTGTTATTGAGCTAGAGTTAGCGGAATCAGAGGCCGGAAGAGATTCGGTTGAAGGGTTCACGGAATTGAGATGGGAAGATTGGGATAGATGTACCGGAATAGGGGGATGCTTGCGGCTGTAGGATCGAGATGGAAGGGTGTTGCGGTTAAGCTTGCAGACTTGAGTTGATGGAGGGGTTTCAGACAGAGGCGGAGAGATTCATGTGGAGAAAGGATGAAAGGGGTGTTACTGTTTGTGTTGAAGATGGAGAGCAGAAGCGAGTATCACGCGGAGAAAGGATGAGGTTACGGTGATGATGCAATTTGTGAGCAGCTTGCGGAAAGGAGGATGGTGAGGATGGTGTGCTGCTTGCGGAAATTGGATAGAGGTTCTGTAGTAATGCAGTTCGTGAGGTGGTGTGTGGCGGAAGGTTAATAGGATGGTGGTGTAACGGTTGAAGGAAAATTGATGATGAAGGTCGGTGGTTGGTGAATCGGACAATGGGGAGAGGTTTGTTGTGGAAGGAGTTGTTTGACGGAGAGGGTTTACTGTTGCGCGCGGAGAGAGAGATAGGAATAGAGAGTAAAGGGTTAAAATGTTACTGTGTTGCTTTTGTTGTATTGTTCAAAGAAAGATAGAAATCTTTATATAGACATATCAAAGAGTTAAAATTTATTTTAGTTTCAATCAGATATGTATATTCTTTTTTCTATCGATCCGCAAATCCTGCTTACAGCCAATGAGAGCAAAGCAAAGTGTAATAAATATTCTTTTGTGACCGAAAAGCCCCTTTAATGATAAAAATAAATTAAAAACCTGAAAGTATAAAAATTAATTCAATTTAAAATGATTTTTTTTATTTTTTTCTGAATAAAAAATGAGACTCAAAATGACTAAAAACGATTTAAAAAAACTGACAAAAATATATCCGAAAAAATGAAATGAACACATTAAAATAAACTACTTGTCTCAAAGATTAATGAAAAAATATTCAAAAAGTCAAAAATCGAAATGAAATGTGAATAAAAATATCAGGTTGAAAAGACGTTTACGGTTAAAAACAAGATTTCGAATTGTACCGAGAAAATAAAGCAAGCATACTGTCATGATCTACGCGAAACGCAGATTCATAAAATGAACAATAAAAGGTGAAAACTTGAAATATTTTTCTCGCCAATTTTCCGCACAGTGTTGAATTGCTTTTAACAGTCTGTCTATAAAACCAAAATATTAATATTATCGACATATAAACAACTTGGAGCAATGCAAGAAACGAGTATACAGATAAAAATGCATGAAGCGAAATGTCATGTATTTTTCAACTACAAAATGATGCAAACTTCAATTTAAACTGACTTTTGGTCAACTTAAATGTGACTAATAATGCAAAATGTGATGAATGAAGATATTTACTAATGATTGTGACCAAATAACAAAATATGATATGAAAGTGTGACTAAGAAAATTAGGGGAGAAATTTAGGGTGCAACAATTGCCACTATTTAATTATCTTTTAGCCAGATAGGCGGAAAGTAATTAAATACAAACATAACTGAATTTTGTCCCTGATGCGATGAGATGGTGGCATATGTTATGAATGAATGCATGGACTCTTTTTTTTACATATATTTTTTGAATGATGTATGAGATGAGACAGACTCTGGGAATATGGAAAGACTCGAAAATGGAAACTTATGGTAGTCAGATGAAATGACGTGGAAAGACACGTTGGGAAAACAACAAGATATTTATGGATATCTGTCAGGGTGACAAAGAGTAACCATCAATACTTGGAAAAAAAAGATAAAACCCGAGAAGGCAAGCAGCGACATCCAAGAATGGCATTGAATGAGGTGAGCAACTCTCAGGAAAATACAGTCAGAAACATCTAGAAGAACAATATATATGAGATGAGATCAAATCTGAAGCTACATCCGAGTCGTCCAGGAAAGATGCTGGACGGAAAAGAAATACGACATCCAATATTGGCTTTGGATGAAGGGAGAACTCAACGTCTAATAATGACTTTAGACGAGAGAAAAGATCACAACATCCAAAATTGGCTTTGGATGGAAACAAAAGATAGCAACATCCAATATTGGCTTCAGATGGAAGAAAAGATCACGACATCCAATATTAGCTTTAGACGGCATCGCAGATCGCAACATCAAATATTGGCTTTGGATGGCAACAAAAGATGGTGGCATCCATTATTGGCTTTGGATGGAAGCAAAAGATCATGGCATCCAATATTGGCTTTGGACGGCAAAAAAAGATGGTGGCATCCAATATTGGCTTTGGATGGAAGCAAAAGATCAAGACATCCAATATTATCTTTGGATAGCAAAAAAGATCACGACATCAAATATTGGCTTTGAACGGAAAAAAAGATGGTGGCATCCAATATTGGCTTTGGATGGAAGCAAAAGATCATGGCATCCAATATTGGCTTTGGGTAGCAAAAAAGATCACGACATCTAATATTGGCTTTGGATGGAAGACAATATGGTGGCATCCAATATTGGATTTGGATGGCAGCAAAAGGTCATGGCATCCAATATTGGCTTTGTACAGCATGGGGAAACATGATACCCAAGATTAGCATTGGTTGAAAGAAATACAACTCATCCAAGATTAGCATCGGAAGAAAGAGAGAAATAACTCATCCAAGATTAGCATTGGAAGAAAAAGAGAAACATCTTATCCAAGATTAGTATTGGACGAAAGAAAGAAACAACTCATCCAAGATTAGCATTAGAAGAAAGAGAGAAACAGCTCATCCAAGATTAGCATTGGACAGAAGAGAGAAAATAACTCATCCAAGATTAGCATTGGAAGAAAGAGAGAAACAGCTCATCCAAGATTAGCATTGGACAGAAGAGAGAAACAACTCATCCAAGATTAGCATTGGAAGAAAGAGAGAAGCAACTGAACTGATATATGCTTTGGTAGGTGCCAAGTAAGTTGGACTTTAATCTCAAGGTGACAGGTCAACTACAACAAGACCTAGGGAAATGCAAATGAGGATGAAGCACTCTTGTTACGTATGAATTTTGTTATACATGATATGTAATGATTTATGCATGCAATGCTGACGTTTACGACAACAGAGTTTGACTCTTTTATGGAGGTAAGATTATAAGTTTGATTCCTCAACACGGAGAACTCTGCCAAATTTGCTTGGAAAGAAAATGTCTTGAACCCATATTTGTCACACTTGTAAATTGTATTGAACTGGTGATTTTCTGAGGAAGGACATGGAGAGTTGCTTGGGGATTTGTCCCAGATTAGCTAACTATTGAGGATAAATTGATCATGGCTTTAGCCAAAAGTTGCTGGAAATAAGTTGATCACGGCTTCAGCTCTGAAAGACTGTTAGAGATAAACTGATCATGGCTCCATCTCTTGAGATATTTGTTAGAATAAACTGATCATGGCTTCAGTTCTTGAAATGACTGTTGGAAAGGAATGCCCCAGCATGAGTCTTGAAAATGATCTTCTGGCTAACCAATTTTGAGAAAACTCTTACTGAGCAATAAATCTTGAACTGATTCACAAATGGATCTGGAAGATACTTGCCCCTGATAGGGTCACTGAACAAGTTTCTCAGCTGTTTGAAATCTCTTCATGAGGAAAAACTTGTTTGCAAGCAAATATCAACATGGTAATTATGCAAAAATTTCATGCAAAAGTTTTGAATTCAAAAATCATTTTTGAAATGATATTGTTGGTGTATAGAAAATGCATCACTGGTTAAAACACAGTGGTTTACACTTTTAAAGTGAAAGAGAAAGCAAAGGTATGATACCAAAACAAATGATTCGCAAAAGATCTTAGGAGTAAGTTTACACAACCTTGCTGTAGTATGCTTTCAAAAGAAACCTGGCTTCAATTAGGTCTTTTGAGGGTTGTAACATGGTCTGCTTCACGGTTTAAGAAATAAAGGATAAAGGCTCAAAGTTTACTTGTACCCAACCCAAACTTCGTGATGTTCTTCAGTCCTATGTTCAGTTAATTCAGAATATGCATTCAGGTTCCAAGAGATTTTGGAATTGCACTGATGGTAGCAATGACGATGATTCAGAAGCTAAGGAATTTTTGAGACGGCAGTCACTTCTTCTTACAACATTTTGTTGTTTTGAGAACTTTTGTCAACTCTGGTGGAGAATTTTGAGGATTTGAAGACCTCTTCTAATTGAATTTATTATTCCCAACTTTTTTCTGAACTGTTTCATTTGAGATTACAGTCAGCGGGAAGCCCCAGTTTTTTGCCTGATTCTCCTTTATAGGTTTTGAATTAGCGGGATTTTTCTTTTGATTTTTCTTTTCATTTCATTTTTCTTTTTGGAAAGATAATGGTTGCCTTGCTCAATGATTACGGGGAACCATCTTTATCATTTTTGGTTTGGGAGCATCTTTGACACTTCTTCTTGTATGCAAAGGAACGCTTGATCACGGACTAAGGTGTCTTGTACGAGTTCTCCTGTAATTGAATGCACAGCCAAATTAACTGATAACTACCCATCCTCAGGTTAACATTGTGGGTTTTTGTGTATAGAAAGAAAATCCAACTTCTATGCTCAAAAGGGGTGAACGAGGGATTAACTTCCTTATTGCTCTGGTGTTTAGGAGTTAAAACAATGTCTGTACATCCTCAACAAAGTTTTATTCGAAAGCATACTAACAACAATTATGGGTATCTTGTTTTCATCATCCTCCCTCAAATCTTTGCATAAACAAGAGAAATATATTTGAAAGCAGTAAATGAAAATGATTTGAATCAAAATATTGCAATGCTCATTTCATTAGAATTAACATGGAAGTACAAACAGTATTTGAAAGCAACAATTTTAACATAAAAAAGGGAAAAATGAAAATAGAAAGAAAGATGGCCTAGTGACTAATCAGTAACAAGGATGAGTTGTCTTGTCTGAAACACTGGCTTTAGGAAGTGACTTGAGGGTACCCCGACTCAGTCTTCAGCCACTTGGCTTTGACAAAGGATTGTTGATAACATTAGGACATGTCTCCTTGAAAGTGAGAATATTTTATTTCACTAATTCTTGCACTCTGTTTTTTAATGCATAGCAGCTCTCTAAATCATGACTGGCAGCTCCCTAATGAAATTCACAATGAAGGTCAGATTTGAACCCGACTGGGGGAGGATTTCGAGGAATCAGAGGCCTAGTTGTAATCAAGCCCTTCTGCACCATTGCATGATACAATTCAGTGTATGTCATAGGGATGGGATCAAATGGACCCTTTTCCCTACATAATGATTCTGATTTTGCAAAATATTTTGTCGTTGAGGAAC